CAATGGCTCTTTTCCTCCCTGAGAGCACCCCATTTCCCTTCTCTCCTGAGTCCTCTTTTTCCAACAACCCACACCTTCCAGCTATTTGGAAAGTCTCCACTCCCTCCCCTATTTTCTGCCCCACTTCTATCTAGGTCCCTTCCACCCAGCCACCAAAGGCCTCTTTATCATGGAGATTTGCCTATTCCCAGCACCTTAAACTTCACTGATGGGAGTTCCTTGAGGGGAGGAGTAACTATTTCTATTCCAAGCTCTGTTCTAGTAAAGATCAGCCCATTAGTAAACTACCTCAAATAGGGCCCCTTGTGTTGGCTCAATGGCTAAATCCTCATCATGCACACACTGGGATCCCATATGGACACCATCTATTGTCCCGGCTATTCCATTTCCCATCCAGTTCTCTGCCTGTGGCCTAGGAAAGCAGTTGAGGATGACCTAAAGCCTTGGACCCTGAACCTGCATGGGAGACCCAGAAGTTGTTCCTGGCTCCTGGCTTCGGATTAGCTTGGCTCTGACTGTGACAGCCACTTGAGAAATAAACCAGCATTTGGAAAATCTTTCTCTATATATCCTCTTCTCTCTATAAATCTGCCTTTCTAATAAATTGTAAAAACATAAATCTTTTTTTTTAACATTTATTTATTTTTATTGCAAAGTCAGATATACAGAGAAGAAAAAGAGAGGAAGAGCCTCCGTCTGTTGATTCACTCTCCAAGTGAGCGCAACAGCCAAAGCTGTGCCAATCCAAAACCGAGAACCAGGGACTTCTTCCAGGTCTCTCACATGGGTGCAAGGTCCCAAGGCTCTGGGCCATCCTCGACTGCTTTCCCAGGCCACAAGCAGGGAGGTGGATGGGAAGTGGAGCTGCCAGGATTAGAAGCAGTACCATATGGGATCCCAGCACATTCAAGGCAAGGACTTCAGCTGCTAGGCCATCGAGCTGGGCCAAAACATACATCTTTTTTTTTTTTTAAGATTTATTTTATTTTTATTACAAAGTCAGATATACAGAGAGGAGGAGAGATAGAGAGGAAATGACCACATGGAATCCCGGTGCATTCAAGGCGAGGCCCTTAGCCACTAGGCCACACCACCAGGCTCAAAACATAAATCTTAAAAAAACAAACAAACAAAAACCCTACATCAAATAGGAGAGGAAGGAAAGTTTTCAGAGCTCTGGGGTCAGGGGTGGGAAGTAGAAATTTCTATAATGAGGGAACCAGGATAGCAAGATGCCTAAATAGTGGTTTCTGGAGGCAGGGTGGTGGGTGTGGGCAGCCAGCCGATGGTGCCCAGGCAGCTGGGCCTCTCTTACCTGCCTAGCAGATTCATGCAGCTAAGCTGTTGGACAAACCTCAGCTATTGTGAATCCTTGGAGAGGGAATTAGATGGATGATCTCTCTCTGCCCCCCTCTTTTTGTCACTCTGCTTTGCAAACAAATAGATAAATACATTTTATTAGGGGAAAAAAGACTTCCATGTTCCATTTTGGAGTGCCTGGATTTGATACCTGATTTAGTCCCTACTAGTGTAGACCCTGACAGCAATGGTGATGGCTCAAATAATTGAGTTTCTGGTACATGATTGGGTTCTAGCCTTCAATGCGGTCCAACCCTGGACTCTATGAGCACCTGGGGTTGAACCAGCAAATGCATATGGGATCTAGTGGCTTCTTAAAAAACAGTGAAGCTTCTTGGTTGCCAGGAAATAGCGGAGGCCCCTGCTGAGGGTACCAAATAGAAAGACAGCATTGTGGTCCTTCTCTCAAACCACTAGGAGCCCATACCAAGAACCACCTCTCTCCCTCTGCAGCAGTTCATCTCCCTTCTGGCTCAAGTTCCTTCCTTTGCCACTAGGACCGCTGGGGCCTTCAGCAAACTGGTTTCCAGAGAGCTACCCTGCCTGCTCCCTACTTTATTCTCCACTCCCTGGCAAAGGTTATCTTTGTAACATGTAAATGTGGACCCTTAATTTGTTTGCCCTTGCTTTGAGTAAAAGTTCAAATTCCAAAACCCATTGTACCAACCCTGAGAGTCTGAGCCCCGGGCATTGAATTCCTCTGACCTCCCCTCACCCATTCCAGAAGTCCCTTTCATCTTCAAGGCCTTACTTAGGACTTGCCCTAAGAGCAGTCTTGGCCACCTTGTCAGGATTCATCCCCTGAGTCACTTTCTTTGCATTACCCTGACCCAGTCAGATCCCCTTCTGAACACTTAAAACCACAACATTTTCTTCCCAGCATGCATGCATTCAATCCACAAATATTGGAGGAGATCCCCCCTCAGCCAGGCAAGCAGGAGATAAGGAATAAAAGAAAGGCAAGCTTCTTAGCTCTTTAGAGTTTCTAGTAATTTGCAGAACTTCACCTGGTTAGCCACAGAAACAAGTGTGAACACCTGTTGCCTGGAGGGTGGATGATAAGAGTATTCCCTCAGTCAGGCTATCAAAGAATTTAGGGAGGAAATGTGGGTTGAGTGAAGTGGGTAAACCCCCAAGAAAACACTCATTGTGTCTCTGGGGGTCTAACAAGTTAGCAGATCCTTGGTGGCAGTGGCTGAATCAATGAATGAATAAAGTTCTTTTTCCTTTTATATCATGTCTGAAGATGGTCCTCAAACACAACAAAAACCACCACTCTCAACATATCAGTCTCAGAAAAAAAAAAAAAACTGATACATTTCTGTTGTTTCTGGCAACACATGGATTTTCTGGCAGAATGTTTTAGAAAACAAATCCATTCCGGTGGGTTCCATTCATGGGATATCTGCTTGGAGGACCTTCAATCTCTTTAAATGATTGAGAAGCACACACAAATTCAGAGGTCAATATGTTGACCCTTAGGCCCTGTGTGATAACCTAGTAGCTAATGTCCTCGCCTTGAACATGCCAGGATCCCATATGGGCGCCAGTTCTAATCCTGGCTGCCCCACTTCCCATCCAGCTTCCTGCTTGTGGCCTGGGAAAGCAGTCGAGGACAGCCCAAAGTCTTGGGACCCTGCACCCAGGTGGGAGACCAGGATGAAGCTCCAGGCTCCTGACTTCGGACTGGCACAGCTTTGGCTGTTGCGCTCACTTGGGGAGTGAATCAACAGACGGAGGCTCTTCCTCTCTGTCTTTCTCTTCTCTGTATATCTGACTTTGTAATAAAAATAAATAACTAAAAAAAAATGTTGTCACTTGCTCTGGCTTTTAATTTATGCTTGTCAGTATTTTCCAAGGCTATATTTATCTTTGTTTTGGGGGGGGAGCTATATTTATCTTATATTACTTGCATAATATAAACCATTGGAAGCATTTTTTCCCCCAATTTAACGGTTAGGCCCTGAGCAGAGGCAGTGGAAATAACCTCTATCTGATGCTAAAAGTCAATTAAAATAATATACAATCTTTCCTTTTTGTGTGACATTCTTTCTCCCCCAAGGATTTCTTTTTTTTTTTTTTTAATTGTAAAGCAGAATAATATATAAAGGCATCTTCCACGCATTTAGGATACTTCGCAAGTGGCTAGAATTTCTCAGGCTGGGTTATTCAGGCTAAAGCTAGGAGCTGTCAGGTGAGTGATAGGTACCCAAGTATTGGGACCATCTTCCGCTGTTTTCCAAAGAGCATTAACAGACAGTTGCATCCAAAGCTGGCCCAGCGGCATGGCCTATCGGCTAATGTCCTTGCCTTGAACGCACCAGGATCCCATATGGGCGCCGGTTCTAATCCCAGCAGCCTTGCTTCCCATCCAGCCCCCTGCTTGTGGCCTGGGAAAGCAGTCGGGGAAGGCCCAAAGCCTTGGGACCCTGCACCCGTGTGGGATACCCGGAAGAAGTTTCTGGCTCCTGGCTTTGGATCAGCATAGCATCGGCCATTGTGCTCTTCCTCTCTGTCTCTCCTCCTCTCTGTATATCTGATTTTCCAATAAATAAGTAAATCTTAAAAAAAAAAAAAAGGAACCCCTAATTCTCTTTAAAAAAAAAAAAAAGCTGGCAGTGGCGACTGGAACCAGCATTGAGATACAACTTGGTTGTAGGTTAGGGCTTAACCAGCTTGTGCTACACTTTAGGTCCCAATATACTTAAAAGACCTTTTACTTTACAGCCTGATTGGCGCACTTAAGCTGCTTCCTTCCTTTATACAGTTATTCCAAGAGCCACTCCTGGGGCACAGCCTGGAAATTCACCCATTTAGACAGGGAAAATCCCTTTCTTACAGAGTCGAAAGTTTTAAATTAATATAGACCACGCTTCTGGAATGGCACCTGCCACATCAGCAAGGCATGAGCTCATTAGGGTAAGATGTGTGTGCAGAGACAGCACGATACTGAGGCCCCCACCACAGCCAGGTTACAGCGGAGGGTTACGCTCCACGTGGCCTACTGGCCAGCCAGCAATCAAACCTGGTGGTAAGGTTTGCAGTCCCTGGGGGGTCATTCAATTTCCTCCCTCATTAGGCCCTGGAAGCCTAGGAAGGGAAAACGGAGTTCATAGCACTGTAAGGCTAGAAGCAGAGACTTAGCCGGTTCTGAACAGCCGTCTCTCGCCTCGGGGAGTCGGCTGCAGGCCGAGGGTGGGAAGGGAGGTAGCACCGGTGACCTCACGAGGGTAGGAAGTCACTGGACCGCTGCTCGCGATGGGAACTACGCTTCCCAGCATGCAAGGCGGTCGGGGGGGTCGTCTTTCACCGGCGACTGACGCCTCGAAGGTTCTGCTGGGAGTTTTCATTGACCTCGGGTGCGCCGCTCCTCCGGATCCCCGCCCATCACCTCCAGGCCCCGCCCCCTGCGGCGAGCGGATGACCTCGCAGAGTCCCGCGAGCCGCTGCCTTCTTCCCTTTCTCATTGGTCCATCATAGCTGTCATTCGGGCGCGAGGGGGAGAAGGAGCTTCCTGATTGGTGGGTTCTGTTTGGCGCCAACCAGGAAAGGGGGCGGGGCAGCGGCGGCGCTCACAGAGCAGCTATTACCGCGAAAGCCATCTCGGTTGGCACATCCTGCAAGGGAGGCGGGTGAGGGTCGGGCTGCTTCTCTGCCATCCCTGTCTGGCTACGGGGATAAGAAAAAAGACAAGTGTGCGACTTGGCCCGCTCCTCGTCGGCCCCCCGAGTTTGTTTGGATTTGATCCCGGGGTTGCTGCGGTCCGCCTTCCCGCTCGCCTCGCGGCCTGAGAGGGAAGCCACCGGTGCTTGTGTCTGGCACCTGCCTGTCCGCGCCGCCGCTCACCGGGCGGGGTCGTGTTTGTGTTTGGCCCGTGGGCGCAGGCGGCGGGGGCGCGAGGCCCGAGGCCGGTGTCGGCGGGGGAGGGCGCGGCGGAGGAAAAGAGGGAGCGGGAGCCCCTAGGAGGGCCGGGCGCCGCCATGGAACTGGGCCCGGAACCCCCGCACCGCCGCCGCCTGCTCTTCGCCTGCAGCTCCCCTCCCACGCCGCAGCCCGTCGTGAAGACATTGTTTGGCGCGCCAGCCGCCGAGGGACTATCGCCTGTCACCACCCTGACGGTCACTATGGACCAGCTGCAGGGGCTGGGCAGGTGAGAAGGAAGACGCGGACGCGCCATGCCCCCCGGGGGTCGCTGGCCTCGCAGTGGACTCTTGGGGAAGATCGAGTGGAGAAACGGCCTGGGAGGAGGGCGAGTCGGGTTGGACCCACGGCCGCCACTGGGGGGCTGGGGGCAGGTTGGTCGGGCCGGAGCCCCCGCCATGTGCACCCGGCCACCGGCGGGCGGAATGTTGGGCCGCAGCCCGGAGCAGGGCCCGGGGGCTCCCCACCTCGGTCGTGCCCCCCTTGCGGATGGCCTGGCACTGGGCCCTGGCCACCCTCCGAAGGCGCCTAAACCGCAGCGCCCGGTCTTCGTTTCCTGTAAGCTTTGTCTCTTCTGAACAGAAGAGACGTGGCATTTCCTCTCCTGCTGTTTTGTGCGGAGTCGTCCCAGTCCCTCGGCCGCGCACGTTCCTGGTGTCCGTCCACCCTGCATCCCAGCCCACCATTTTCTGAGCCCGTGTTTTTGGCCTGGGGGAAGCAGGAACTCCTGTCCACTCCTTCGTAGGTCTCTAGCTCAGGCCGCAGGACACATGCTCTCCATTCACAAAAAAAAGCTCGGCTTTCCTCGCCGTCTCAGGACTGGCAATGCGGTCGGGGGACCACCCACCCACTGTAATCGTTGGCTCGGGGCTGAGTGTTCTGGGTGGCGAGGTGAGCTCTGGTGTGGTCCCCATGTGAGGGTAGTTCATGCCAGAAATGGCTACTTGTTAAGTTCCTGGCCTGGTTCCTGCATGTGGCCCTTCAGGAATGTACTAGGAATCGCTCAGGTGGAATTATTTCTCTTGGTTTCAGTGAGTGTGAGCAGCCGCTGGAGGTGAGGAACAACAGCAGTCTGCAGAGAATGGGCTCCTCGGAATCCACGGATTCAGGTATTGCCTGTGTGTGTCTGAGTCATTTTGGTCTGCGCTGTGGGCTGCAACATTGGGAAATGGCTAAAGCGAATCTGTGAGGAGTTAGTTGATTCGTGCTTGTGCTGGAAAAATCGGGTTTACAATTTACACCTCTGTGAATGGCATTCAGAAAAACTTAGTTAAAATACAGGGTGAGGGTTTCCTGCTAAGGCCTTCTAGGAGCCAGCAGGTGATGGCTCAACTGCTTGGGCCCTGCCTTCCACATGGGAGACCTGGGGGAGGCTTCTGGCTGGTGGCTTTGCATTGGGCCCTGTGGAGAATCTTTGTCTTTTCTCTTTGTGACTCTGCTTTGCAAATACAGTGAATTTTCTAATTGTGAAGTGTAATATACAATTCTTAAGAACTGGGTGTAAGATTCTTTTACCTGTGGAAGTGGATGAATGATTATGTGAGCAGTTCCAGTGCCTACCCTGTAAGGCTGTGTCAGCATCCCAGAGAGGTGGGAGCCAAGCAGGTGCTGGTGGGCCTGAGTTGGCACAGAAGAGAAGCTGAGCTGTTGGAGCCAGGGACACCTTTCTTGGTGGGTGTCATTTTGTTAGAAGCAGCTGATGTGTGCCTTGTGTGTGATGATTAATATATTTTTATCTTTGTATATTTGGAAAGACAGAGCTTATGGATTTGTTTCACTTCCCAAATGGGGGCTGGGGCTGGCTGAAAACAGAAGCTGAGGGTTCCGTCTGGGCCTTCCACATGTGTGGCAGGGACCCTGCTTATTAGGGCCAGCACTGCTGCCTCCCAGGAAGTTTCTGAGCTGGAGTTCTGAGCTGAACTTGAATCTGACCACTCTGATGTGGAATGCAGGGATTCTTAGTGTTTTAACTGCCGCACCAAATGTCTGCTCTGTAATTGTCTTTGACAAAACTCAGAATTAATTGGAAAGCTTGATAAAATACTTAACTCTTTCAAAACTATTTCAGAATGTGAAGGAGTTGAAGTCATTCTCCTTAAATTCTCTTTTCCTTGATGATATTGTTAAGAGATGAGGGTTAGTAAATAGACTATGAAAATGTTATTTATTTAACAACAAAATGATATTTTATGTATTGTTTCTGATGTTGGGTGTTTTCCCCCCCACCGCCCTTACAGGTTTCTGTCTGGATTCTCCTGGACCCTTGGACAGGAAAGAAAAGTATGTATTCACTGTTTTTAAATGTTTATACATAGAAAAGATTTTTCTTATTTTAGGACAGTTAGTTATTTATTTGAAATGTAGATAGATGGATCTGTCCACAGATTTACTCCCCAAATGCGCATATGGGTTGTGGCAAGGCTGAGCCAAAACCAGGAGCCGGGAACTCCCTTTAGATCTCCCATGCTCCCACTAGTGGCAGGAGTCCAAACACTTGGATTATCACCTAATTCCTTCCTTGTATTTGAGCAGGCACCTGGGTCAGGAGCACAGAGTAGCCAAGCACTATGAATGGGATGCAGGGAAACAGCTTGGCGCACTGTGCCTCAGGTCTACCCCTCAATTTTTTTTTTTTACTCAAGTTCTTCACGCTCGAAATGGGAGCCCTGGATTGAACTGTTCCCCGAGACACTTCCTTAAGTAGTTTATATTCCCTCTCACCCCTATAGGATTTAATTCTCGTTTTGGTGTTCTCATGTCAATTCTTGCTCCACCTCTGACAGCTTTAAGGGAATGTGTGTATTTGAAGGAAGACTTGGGTTTGCTTTGAATGTTCCTGAAAATAGGACATCTTCTGAAATTTACTGTTGTATTTCTTCTTAAAAATGTGAATGTGTTTGACTATTTTTTCCACTGTTGTCAGTTAAACACATGTATCTGTTCAGATGAACACCTTTACTGGCTTTATTCTAACTATTTACCTTTGAATCTCGTTGTAGTCTTGGAAATCCTGTGAAGAGGATAAATTCTCTACCTGTAAGTTGGTTCTCTTGTGTATTTGGAGATCAAACCTGTGATCCACCTGCCAGCTGCACCTTGATAGGAGACTTCAGTTTAGAAAATGAAAACTACTTGGCTTTGGTCTGGGAGTTCTCAGACATTGCTTAGGGCAGCTTTAATAAGGGCTGTCCCTGGAGGAGGTCTAACTTGCAAAATTTAATTAAGCCAGAAAAGGGGTCCCTTATGCAAATATTTGAGGGTTGATTTGGCGCTGTCCTGCCTACTGAGATCTTAGGAAGTGAGACGTGGAGCCCTATAGTGGGTTCTGTTCTGTGGTATGGCCATATTTACAAGTTATCTACTGGCCGTGTGAAAAGCTATCTCCCGCCCCACTTATGAAAGCTTTCCACAGAATTTTTTATGTTTCCTAATTGTTGCTTTTTCACTTTGCTAGCCGAAGCTCTTGGGATGTAGTCCTGCTCTTAAGAGGAGCCATTCTGATTCTCTCGACCATGACATCTTTCAGCTCATCGACCAGGATGAGAACAAGGAGAATGTGAGTGATGTGGTTGCACTAGGCTGGGGGAGAGCGGCTGGGTTTCTTCCTGGGAGTACTCATGTGGCCTTTGGAGTCAGATCTGGGTTTAGGCACTGCTTGTTATTAACTGTGTGGGTGTGACAAGTAACTTGCTTTTTTAGCTTTCTCTGTAAAGTAGGAATTCCAGTGTCTTAGAGAAATTGCAGGAATTAAACTGGGAAATTAGAAAGTTAAATTGGTGCCTGGAAGGTAAGAGTTGGTCAGTTGTTCACTGAGGAGTAAGAATATCTGCATAGTTTACCTGGGAGATTTGCCTTGGCCTTCCTAGCCTCTGTGCCTTTGCTGTTTGTTTGACTCAGGTGAGTTGTGAACTCAGGAGAAGGCTTCTTGGCAGTGTTTGAAAAAGGAGATAAAAAAAATCTAGAATTTCAAGGTAATTTTGATATGATGGCTTGACCATCTGCAAATATGCCCTGACTATGTCTTTAAGGAAAAATGACATAGCTGGTGGCTAAAGAGGTGTTCATGGGCTCACCAGGCAGCCTGAAGGCTTAGTTTTCTAGGACACCAAGGTCATATTTGTTGGCTAAATGATTTAATACATGGGAAATACTTTAAATTGGTATAAATAATTCTGGTGTTGGTTATTACTGTTTTGGTGCTTATAACAAGTTGTTGGGACCAGCATAGTGGCTCAACTGGTTAAGCTGCTGCCTGCGATGTTGGCATTCCATATGAGCATGTATTTGAGTCCTGGCAGCTCCACTTTGATCTGCTTCCTGCTGATGCATCTGTGATGGTAGCATAAGATGGCCTGAGTGGTTGGGCCCCTGCCATGCATGTGGGACACATTGATTGGGTTCATGCTCCTGGCCTTGGGAGCCATTTAGGGAATGAACCAGCAATCGTAGTTAGTTCTCGCTTGCATGCTCTCTCTCTCTTTTCTCTGTAACTGCCTAAATAAATAATGTAATTTTTTTTAAGATTTATTTTTATTACAAAGTCAGATACACAGAGAGGAGGAGAGACAGGAAGATCTTCCATCTGATGATTCACTCCACAAGTGGCCACAACAGCCGGTGCTGTGCCAATCTGAAGCCAGGAGCCAGGTCTCCCTCCCATGTGGATGCAGGGTCCCAAGGCTTTGGGCTGTCCTTGGCTGCTTTCCCAGGCCACTAGCAGGGAGCTGGATGGGAAGTGGGGCTGCTGGGATTAGAACCGGCGACTTTCCGGGATCCCAGCACATTCAAAGCGAGTTGAGGCGCTAGGCTATGCCACCGGGCCCGAAAACCATTCTTGTTGAGTAAACCACTAGGGTTTTTTTTTCACTAGCCCCTTTCCTCCCTCCTATTGTTTTTCATAACATCATAAGTGAAAAAAATTGACTCCCACTGGGTAGGAAATAGCATAAAATACAGAGGAACCCTATGGATGAAAAGTTGGAGTCTTATTCAAAGGCATGATGGGAAATGATATTGTGATGACGTTGCTTTAGGATTGTAGAAAGTATTGGATGCAACTGTGACTCGTATTTTATGAAGTTGGCAGATACTGTGCATTTATTAGAAAGTAAAATGACAAGAAAAATGTGCAGTTGTTAGCCACTGACACAGCCATGCACATTCTTAGTTACAGATCTAGTGCTTTAATTAGATTAGAAACAGGTAAAGCCTTCCTTTGGCGGCAGTTACAAAGGTGATCCATGTCCCGTGCTTGCTTGTCCCCCCACATCAGCCGAGGCCCTTCTTGAGCAGCACAAGATGTCTCGACTATACTGTCTTTCAGGAAGCCTTTGAGTTTAAGAAGCCAATAAGACCTGCATCTCGTGGCTGCCTGCACTCTCAAGGAATTGAAGCGGGTAAAGATCTCTTCACACAGAGGCAGAACTCTGCCCCCGCTCGGATGGTATGTGCTGCTGCCTTGCACAGGGGACTCTGAAGTAAACAAGCACCCTTTTTGGTCAGGAGCATAAGACTTCAGTAGCTCTAGTTGTCTCTGTCTTTGTTTTCAGAAGCTAGACGGTTTTTGTGGTCTCCGGGAGACACAAATCTTTGACCTTGTTGATTATATGTGCTTGTGTGCATAGTAGAATTTTATCATTTTATCTCTTAAAGCTTGCTCTGGGAAGCTTTTGATTTCTTTTTTAAAAATATAGATTTTTTTGAAAGGCAGATTTATAGAGAGAAGGAGAGACAGAGAAATCTGCATTTGCTGGTTCACCCTCCAAATAGCTGCAGTGGCTGGAACTGAGCCAATCTGAAGGCAGAAACCAGGAATTTTTTTTTTAAACCAAACCAAAGCCCTCCCCCACAACAAATAAAAAGCACCTTGTATGTTAGTTTTATGATGAGGATTTAAAACAAAAAAAGAATGTGTAGGTTAACTGATGAGGTGTTAGCTTTTTATTCTAGGAATGAGCCTCTTTGCTAGGGAGGTAGTATAGTTTAAGTACCTGGGCTTTGGAGTCTGACAAGTGAGGTGTGTGACCTTGGTAACATCATTTAGATGTCTTATCAGTTTGCTGGTAAATAAAAACATTGGGATTACACATGTGAAGATTATATATGTAATGGCTGGCACACAGTAAATCCTTCATCAGAGGCTGAGCAAGTGTTAAGTTCCAAGTCTGAAGACTCAGGGAGAACGCCAGCTGGTGTTCTGTGAGCATTCCCTTGGCCGTCTGTGGTCTCTGTAGACACGTTGCCTGTTCCTGCTCTTGCTCCTCCCAGCAGATCATCATACTGTCCTACCCCTTCTGCTTAGAACTGTTCTGATCCCAACGTACAGAGAAGCTTCTCGTCCTGAGCGGGGATCCCAGTACTGCCTGTGAGATCTCTTGCTTCTGGGGAGAGTTTTTTCCTGTTTGATTGGACTGTACTTAAGGCTCTGTGGATAGCAAATGATCTTCCTTTGCTCAGTAGCTGTTGAATTTTACTTGGGATAACCAATAATATTTTTTTTTTTTTTTTTTTGTCACAAAAGCTAGTGATCTGTACAAGGAAACTTAATTTACCAGGGCTCATTGACTCATCAGCTGTGAATTCTCTTCCAGCTTTCCTCGAATGAAAGAGAGAGCAGTGAGCCAGGGAATTTTGTTCCGCTTTTTATGCCCCAATCTCCTGTGACAGCCACTTTGTCTGACGAGGATGATGGCTTCATGGATCTTCTTGATGGAGAGAATCTAAAGGTACTGTATGTACTGTGCTGTGGGGTGTAGCGCATGTGCGTGTGTTCTTATTCAACTGCTGGGAAAGTCATGTAAAAAGAATAAATGTATCATCCTTCTTACTCTGAAGGAGCTACTGTGTGCTGGATGGCCATGTGTCCTAGAGCTGAAGGGGGACTGGATGTTTCCTCACCCTCCATAGGATGACAGGGTGCTGCTGGCTATGTTCAGCTCTCTGAACTGTTGGGTGATGATCTGCTGACCTTAAGGGAACAGCAGAGCGTACGTTTAAAATACAATGCTTGCCATTAGTATCCTAACTGTACTGTCTTGTATCTTTCTGACATCTAAAGCATTTAAACTTCTGGGTCTTTTTAAAATCACTTTCTCTCTTTAGAATGATGAGGAGACCCCGTCATGCATGGCCAGCCTCTGGACCGCTCCCCTTGTCACAAAACGGACTGCAAACCTTGTAAGTGAATCCAGTGTCTCTGGGCAGCTTCGAGTGGTTGGGTCACTAGGCAGTCGTCCTTACCTGAGTATAGCTGAGATGCACTGCAGTGCTAAGCACTTGGGAACCTAGGTTTTAGAGCTACCTTGGCTGCCGCTCTGACTGCAACCTTGGTAGATACATTTCATTTTTTTGTGTTTTCTAAGCTATAAAATAAGAGTGTGGATAAAGAGCATGTCTATCTGAAGCTGAACACAACTGCCTTTTTTTTTTTTTTTAAAGATTTATTTTTAGGGGCCCAGCGTGATGGCGCAGTGGTTAAAGTCCTCGCCTTGCACGCCTGGGATCCTATATGGGCGCCGGTTCCCATCCAGCTCCCCGCCTGTGGCCCGGGAAAGCAGTCGAGGACGGCCCAAAGCTTTGGGAACCTGCACCCGTGTGGGAGACCCGGAAGAGGCTCCTGGCTTTGGAACAGCATAGCATCGGCCGTTGCGCTCACTTGAGGAGTGAATCATCGGACGGAAGATCTTCCTCTCAGTCTCTCCTCTCTGTATATCCGCCTTTCCAATAAAAGAAAAAAAAAGATTTATTTTTAAATTTTTGTTGAAAAGTCAGATATGCAGAAAGGAAGATCTTCCATCTGATGGTTCACTCCCCAAGTGGCCAAAATGGCTGGAACTGAGCTAATCTGGAGCCAGGAGCTTCTTCCGGGTCTCCCACGCGGGTGCAGGATCCCAAGGCTCTGGGCCAACCTTGACTGCTTTCCCAGACTTCAAGCAGGGAGCTGGATGGGAAGCGGGGCTGCCAAGATTAGAACCGGCACTCATATGGGATCCTGGCCACATGCAAGGCGAGGACTTTAACCACTACACTATTGCGCCGGGCCCATAGGGAAACTTTTAAACAAAAAAGAACTGTGGAGCTATCTCTCCAGGTATACAAGTATACATTCTCATTTATGTAAACATCTACAGAACAGTAGATATCGTCCCAGTGCAATTTTAAAATAAAATAAATAAATCTAAAAAGGAAAAAAATTAAACTTTTGCTTGAAAAGCAGAATTACAGGGACAGATCTCTTCCATCCGTTGGTTCACTCCCCAGATGACTGCAACAGCTGGGGCTGGGCTGATCTGAAGCCAGGAGCCTTTTCCGGGTCTCCCACGTGGGTGCGGGGACCCGAGTACTCCAGCCATTCTCCATTGTTTTTCCTGGCGTTAAGCAAGGAGCTGGATTGAACATGGAGCAGGCCGGGACATGATCGGGCGCTCAGGTGATACTGGTGCTGCAGGCTGAGGTTTAGCCTGCTGTGTCAAGGCACTGGCCTGTTGGTAAGCTTTCTGAGGGTAAGGAGTTAAGGAATGCTTTGCTCATCTCCATATGAGGTCATCCAAGTACATATTCGCTAAGTGACAGGTACTCACTGCCTGCTACCTGATTTAGGGTCTTAAGCTATCCCAGGAAGCCCTAGGTGTATTTGCCTTTATGATTTGAGTGAGCCTATTTTAATGAAAGATGAATCTTTTTTTTCCTAAGGGCAATCGATGCAAGCTGTTTGAATCCCCTTCCCCGTGTAGCTCCAGCACTCGGTTGATGTTGAAGAGACCAGAACGACCTCTAGAGGAGTCTCCACGAGGAAACACAAAGCGGAGGAAGAGCATGGCTGGGGCCGGTTCTGAAGAGGCAGCCAGTCCGGAGAAGGCCCAGAAGGTTAGTTTTGCTGCTTGTTTTGTTTTTGGTTTTGGTTTGTTTGTTTGTTTTTTAATTTAGATTGATTTTTATGTTTATTGGAAAGTCAGATATACAGAGAGGAAGATCTTCCATCTTGGTTCACTCCCCAAGTGGCCACAACAGCCTGAGCTGAGCCAGGAGCCAGGCGCTTCTTCCAGGTCTCTCACATGGGTGCAGGGTCCCAAGGCTTTGAGCTGCCCTCAACTGCCTTCACAGGCCACAAGCAGGGAGCTGGATGGGAAGAAGGGCTGCTGGCAAATGAGCCGGTGCCCATATGGGATCCCAGCGCGTGCAAGGCAAGGACTTTAGGTGCTAGGCCTTTGTAGCTTTTCTTTGAGTAGTGATGCTATATTTTTAAGTTCAGCAGTTCACAGCCCTACCAGCAGCAATAATCTGACCCATTGAACCAAAGTCTGCCCAGCACTGAATGTACTATTCGCAGGAGAACTTTTTGTTGTGATGTGACACATGAATCCCCCTCGTTGCCTTTGTGCCAGTGAACTGTACGCAGTGCGCTGCTGCTCTGGACACCGAGTCCCTTGCTCCTTTGCATTGACTGCTCTGTTGATCCTGTGGCCTACACACATGACCTCATCTGTGATTCCTTCTGTTTTATGACCTTGTTTACATTTTTTGTATTTGTATACTGTTCCTGTCTTCGTACTGACCTTCCTTATTTCACAACATAAACTGAAGAGCAGCCTGTGACTTCTAAGGCCTGAGAAGTTTTGGGTAAAATTTAGTCTTGAAAGTTAGATCGTAGCTGGTCAGTATTGAGACCATTTGTTTCCTTTAACTCATCAAACTGGGGATTAACTTTCTAATTTTTATATGATCTCTTCATATATTTTGGCCTTCATGTTTTGATTTGTTTTCACACACTATAGTTTTAGTATTTTTCAGTTCTGTTTTGCATTACCTCAATGTGTTGCCCTCATGCCTAGCATAGGTAAGGTTTTTTGTTTTTAAGATTTATTTTATTTTTATTGGAAAGGCAGATATACAGAGAGGAAGATCTTCCATCCGATGATTTACTTCCCAAGTGGCCTCAGTGGTTGGAGCTGAGCCAGTCCGAAGCTAGGAGCTCTTCCGTACCCATGTGGGATCCCAGTACTTGCAGAAGCAGGATTAGCCTGTTGCCTCAGTGCTGACCCAATCCCAACCTAGCTTTAGCCTCACTATTTGTAGGAGAGATTGTAGCTTCATAGAAATTAACTTATATACTGGAATAACAGCAGGCCTACAAACAAAAATGCCTTTACCAGAGATGGACATTAGCATTTCAACCTTAGGACGTGCTGTAGGTGAATGTTCTCAAGTCCCAGTCAGGGATTTCCTCTTGGGACTGGCATTGTGGCAGCAGCAAGTTAAGCTACTGCTCATGATACCCGGCATTTCATATTCGAGTCCTAGCTTCCTGCTATTGTGCCTGTGAAGGCAGCGGGAGATGACGCAAGTACCCATGTTAAAGCCCAGATGGACTTCCAGCTGTGGCTGTTGTGACCTACTGGGGAGTGCACCAGAGGACAAAAGATCCCTCTGTCATTGTACTTTTCAAAGAAATACTTCCAACAAACACCTCAGCTCACTCTCTCTCTTTGATTTGTTCCAGCTTATACATCAGTGTTTATCCATGGCATCTTCCCCGAAAGGGACCATTGAGAACATTTTGGACAATGACCCAAGGGACCTTATCGGAGACTTCTCCAAGGTAATTTTGTGAACGGAACTGCTCTGAGTGATAGCCTGTTACCTTCTGACGTGGATTCCCGGGTGCCTCCAAGGGGAAACTGCTAGGAGGCCCATACCCCACACTGAGTTCCAGCTCCATCTCTGAATCCAGCTTCTTGCTATTGCATACCGCAGGAGGCAACAGATGATGCCTCCCTGTGATCTGGATAGGAGCACTCTCCCTGAGCCGGCCGTCCGGGTCACGTGGGGAAACAAACTCAGAGATTCTTTGGATGTACGTTTTGGTGCGTTCTCTGAGACTGCAGCCTTTGTTCTACTGGTAAGCCTTTCAGCACAGCAGTCTTGACTTCCAACCCAAAGCCAAGATTCTCTGGGGATGTTGCTTCTGATCAGAAAAAATGGTACAAAGAAGCAGAAACAAAGCTGTATCCTCACTACAGGTTTATATGTTGAAAGGTTAAGATTGAATTTCTTTGCTGTCCAGAGAATTATAACCTTTGGAGGAAAGGGGCCTCAGGAGAGTATGAAGGAAGATGTGCCTGTGGCCTGATGTGTCACAGGGGAAGGTGGCTGTCTTTCAGCTGGCTCTCGTGGCTGTGGAGTAAGCTGCAGTTTGCAACCCACAGCATGTCTCACGTCGAGTGTGTGGGATGCAGCCCTGACTCAACTTCCAGTCCTACTTCCTGCTGGTCATCTGGGAGGCTGCAAAACATGTTCCAACTCCTTGGGCACCTGCCAGATGGATTTTTGGCACCCAGCTTTTTCCTGGTCTAGTTCCGTATCTTGTGAACATTAAGGGAATGAACCAGTAGATAGGTCTCACTCCATTTTTCTGCCTTTCTTATAATAACGAAAAGCTGTGGTAAGGTATGAGGGTGGAACATAGAGTGAATTGGGATTTTTTTTTTTAAGATTTGCTTATTTTTATTGGAAAGGAAGATTCACAGAAAGGAGATACACAAAGATCTAGTTCGTTCTCCAAATGGCCCCAGTGGCTGGAACTGAGCTGATCATGAGCCAAGAACTAAGGATTTCTTTGGGGTCTCTCACTTTCTTTGGCTACAGGTTCCTAATAACTTGAGCCATCCTCCATTGCCTTTCCCAGGCACAAGCAGGGAACAGGATAGGAAATGGAGTGGCTGGAACACAAGCTGGCACCCATATGGGGTCCAGGCGCTTGCAGGGGATGAGAGAAGGATTAGCTGATTGAGCCATCGTGCCTGGCATGATTGTATTTGTGTTAGTGACTATGGTGACAAGTAAGCTCTTGACTCAGTCCAGAGTAATTGCTGATGTGCTCCTGATAGTCCATGATTGGGCCAGGTTTCCCCCCATTCTTAGCACCAACTCCAGACTGGGTAGGGCTTGAACTTGGAGCATGCACGGAGGATGCTCCCTCACTGTGTGTGCGTGCTTTTCATTCTACCTTCTACCTGCTGAGATGAGGATCCTTGACAACACAGGAAGAAAAGGCAGTTATCAGTTGGGTATTCTTGGATAAGGAGCTTAGAGCTAGGGTCTGCAAATGGACAGTATTGGTTTGTGTCAGTGTTGGGTGTGAATGATGTACCTAGAATAAGAGGCAATGTATTCTGACACAGGCCAGCAGGTGTCAGTGTTAACCTTTATGGGGTTTCAGGGAATCTGAATGGTTTTCCTTTTTTTTTAAGGGTTATCTGTTTCGAACAGTTGCTGGAAAGCATCAGGATTTAAAATATATCTCTCCAGAAATTGTAAGTCATTCTTTAGGACCCTTCTATACATGTAGTATTTGAATATTGCTGTTCCTAATGGCCAAAGTTGAATCTTAATGATTTTCCACAGATGGCGTCTGTTTTGAATGGCAAGTTTGCCAACCTCATCAAAGAGTTTGTTATCATCGATTGCCGGTACCCATATGAATATGAAGGAGGCCACATCAAGGTATGGGCTTTTTCAGATTTGTTTGTTTGTTTGTTTGTTTGTTTGTTTTAAAGGCTTATTTTACTTGAAAAGCAGAGTTAGAAGAAGAGACACAGCTCTTCATTTGTTAGATCACTCCCCAAAATGGCTGCAGCAGCCAAGGTCAAGCCAAAGTCAGGAGCTTCATCTAGTTGACCCATATGGGTACAAGGCCCAATTACTTGGGCTGTGTTCTGCTATTTTTCCCAGTCAGCTATTGGATCGTTGAATTGGAATTCTAACAGCTGGGGCTTGAACCAGTACCCCTGTAGGATGCTGCCATCTCAGGCCGTGGCTTTACTTGCTACACCGTAATGCTGGCCCCATAACAAATTTTAAAGCAAGGTAATTGGTTTAGGAGGTATCTGGCTCCTGTGCACAGAACCAGGTGTCTGGTGTACACTAGTCCTTGTCACTCGGTGCTGCAGATGCTCTTCCTGTTCTGTCCTTGCTGCCATCAAAGGCCTTTCAAGGACCAGAAAAGGTTTCATGGGTTTACAAGTCTTGGGTCCAAGGCTCCTGGCCAGGAGAAGTCAGTGTCTGTGCCAACCTTGGCGATGCCTCCTGAGTTTAATTCAGTTGAGCTGCCTTTTGAAGCAACATGTGGAAACACACTTTTAGGAAGAAGGAACTGGTTTAAAAGATTAAATCTAACCTGTACCAAATAAAATCATTTTAAGGCATAATAAAAGTACATTAAATACACTGTCCATTACAGCCACTATACTGCTTTGTCTGAAATGCTAGAACTCCAGGCTTTAGATTTCTCATTACTGTGGAGTACCAGCATGAACATGATGAGGTATCTTGAGAATAGGGTTATGTACACCTGATATTCATAGCCTGTAGGTAATTTAATGCGCCTGTACTCTGAGGGCAACCCACCATGTGGGTCAAATCTCGAATTTTCCACTTGTATCCCTATGACACTCAGTTTTGAGTTTTGGGTCATTTCAGATTTTCCATGTAGCAATGCTCAAGCTGTATCTTGTGGATTTCAGAAACTGCCCAGTGTTGCATATCTGTAAAGTATACCACAGTGACACAACAGGGTTTGAGGCACCTGTTTGTGGTTCCTCTGTGTGATAATGTGAATAGACCTCTGAAACTGTTGGGATGGATACCAGGAGGTCTACTGGGCAGTCAGGAGACCTTCAAAGTCAGAGTGGTCCTATGGACCCTGATTAGATCACTACTTCAGCTGTCTCAAGGGTCTCACCTCCACAGGGCGCAGTGAACTTGCACATGGAAGAAGAGGTCGAAAACTTCTTACTCAAGAAACCCATTGTGCCTACTGATGGCAAGCGTGTCATCGTTGTGTTCCACTGCGAGTTTTCTTCTGAGAGGGGCCCCCGCATGTGAGTGTTACATAAGGCTTTGGGGAAGAAACCTTGTGATACTCTATGGGGTGCCATGGTGTCTGGGCTAAACTTGGAGCATGTTTTGGTATATCAAGCATTCTTTTGCAAAACCATTAATTATTTCCATGTCTTAGGTCTACACTTGTAAATTCATGGTTTTGTGAAAATACCAATTCATTCATAATAGATATTTTCCTAAATTCTCACCCAAGTAATAGTTTGCTTATTCATTTATTTAATTATACCGGAAGAGCAGATTTACAGAGAGGAGAGGCCTTCCATCAGCTGGTTTACTCCCCAAATGGCTATAATGGCTGGAGCTGAGTTGATCTGGAGCCAAGAGCCAAGAGCTTCTCTCGAGTTTCCCACAAGGGTACAGGGTCCCAAGGCTTTCCCAGGCCACAAGCAGGGAGCTGGATGGGAAATAGAACAGCTGAGATAAGACCCAAGTGGGATTTCTGCACATAAAGGGGGAGATGAAAAAAAAGGGGTCAATATATAGCAGCACATAGTTGTTTACTGTGTCCATGCAAAGTGGATTGTAAACCTGGAACATGCAGTATAGTAAAACACAGCAGTGACAGGACCACGCTGCAGGGCAGGTGGAGAGCTAAAACAGGGTGCAGCCTCAACACTAACTTCCAAAGTGCATGACGGCTTCTGAGGAAGCGAGCTGTCCTACATTCAGAGAAAAGCATGAATACAAGCAGGTGATGTTTGTTCATTCATGAGTATAATTGTTCATTCATGAGTATAATTGTTCCCTTAGCAGATACTTTTTTCTCGTTCGTGAGGTCCTTGGTGTGAAAGGGAATAGCATGGAGAAGTAAGCAGAAAAGCCCTGCCCTCATGGGACTTACATTTCAGAGTAGGCAGAAGGCAGACAAATAACGTTTTATGCAGTCTCTTACAAGGTGCTTTATAGTCACAGGTTGCGTGAGGAACAAGTGGTTTGTTTGGGTGGGTGGGGGTGACAAATTGTAGGCCCTGTAAAGACTTTTGATGCTGATAGTTTGCATGAAGAACCACCAGCCTGATGAGGACAGTGGGGGGGTGCACATTCCACATGCACTCCCAGCGGAGGAGTGCAAGCAAGGCCTAATTAAAAACTACAGGAAGGAAAGAATCCCCCTTGGGAGGAAGGTGAGGGAGACTGGTCAGCAAGAAGTCAGGCGTGCGGCAGGTGCAGAGAATGCAGGGGAGGCGGGCTCAGCAGCCGGTGGTAAAATTGGCTGAATGTAGGTCAAACGCTTGACCTGGAGAAAGGGAAGTTGGGGAAGAGACAACTTCCTGGTGCTGGCTGTGAACACTGCTCACATGATCAGGATGGATTATTTTCAAGAAATACAGGGATTTCCAAGAATTAGTGTGAAGGTGGAAGACATGTAAAGAGCACTGCAGCTACAAGCTCTGCTTTTGCTTTTTCTATGTTGTCTTGTTTCTCTGCACTGAAAGAGCTTACCTTGCTCTGGCCTTCTTGTTTACTAGGTGCCGGTATGTAAGAGAGCGAGACCGGCTTGGTAATGAGTATCCCAAACTTCACTATCCTGAGCTGTATGTCCTGAAAGGGGGCTACAAGGAATTCTTCTTAAAATGCCAGGTAAGACGGTGGTCTCTGAAAAGTGTGCCTTCTATGACCTCTGTGCCACACTAGTGAATCTGCCTGCCGGCCGTGACTGTTTCTTAAGGACAAAGTTGAGGGTCCCAGGAGAAGTAGCTGTTCCCTGGGTAGGGAGGGAGCCAGGTTGTGTGCCTGAGGCAGGTGTACCCTAACTTCATCCCCTCCTGTCCCCAGTCTCACTGTGAGCCCCCCAGCTACCGACCCATGCACCACGAGGACTTTAAAGAGGACCTGAAGAAGTTCCGCACCAAGAGCCGGACCTGGGCAGGGGAAAAGAGTAAAAGGGAAATGTATAGTCGCCTCAAGAAGCTCTGAAGGCAGCGGTATCAAGACGGCAGCAGCCCAAGCCCTCTCCGTCCCTCCTGCAGTCGCCTCTTTGCTGCAGAGAAACTTGAGCAAAGGGGCCAGCTGTGTGGTGTTTACAGAGAAGACCTGCAGCTTCTGTGCCTTCAACTTACCTCCCACACTCCCAAGGTTGGGGCCTCCGAGGCATCTTAGTGGCTGCGCCTCTTCTGCCAGTGTAGGACATCCTCCCTGCACATCAGGACTGTCTCCCAAGGCTGTCACAGGTAGCAGTGCAGGCCCGGCACGCTGTCAAGCTGCTTCTGTCTCGTTATCCCCAACAAGTCCAAGAAGCAGCTGGGGCCTCAATGGGCTCTGGTCTTCCCTTGTGAAGGGAGGAGGAGGAGGAGGAAGGAACAGGAAGAGAAGTGCTGCTGACCAGATACCAAAGACAGCCTTGGAAGAAAAAGTCTTCATGGGACCACTTGTCTCTTTTATTTATTCAACCTCACCAATTATTTTAATTTTTTGTAAGCTCTGGAGACTTTTACTGCTTCATTAAGTCAAAATACTGCCATTCTAAGTAGGGTTTTTATCATCCTGGAACTACCTCTGCTTTTAATTAAAAAAAAAGAAAAGGGGGGTAAGAAAAGGCAAAGTCGGTGTGAGTTGTGGGACAGAGAGCAAGGAGCTCTGTCACCCCCAGGAAGCATCGCGGTACTGGGGCTGCTGCTATTTAAATCCAAGGACTGAGCTACTGGTGGGCTAGACCCCGAGCTCAGGCTTGGCTATCGGACATAAACTACACCTCCCAGACTTTGGCCAGAGAGATCTGTTGGAAGGGAAGGTCCCTATTTTCACCCTAGTGCCCTGTGTTGTTGGCTGGCACAGAAATCACAGTGGACACGTTTCAAGCAGCTTTTCCTTGAACCACTTGCAAGTCAGTCCCAGAATGTAGTGTGGGTACCAGGGTGCTGGTGTGGGGATAGGTGGGCCCCGCCAGGAAGGGAGGAGCTTCCCCACCAACTCTCTCCTTGTTACTCTGATACTCTTAGCATTTATTTTTAGTTCTTGAAGTCATGAGTGAAAAGAGTAACAAATCAGTGTTGAATGGGCCACCCAAGTGTAGGGAGAGGGGCTGGGAGACCTGGGCCTCTGGAGGGAGGGAGCTGGTATTGAGGTGTCTGCGTAGATTGTTTCTCAGGAGGGAACGTGGTGGATTTTGAAGGTAAAACTTTCTGGGTTTATCATGTTTTGATTTGAGGGACAGTGGTGGATCATCGCCAGTTGCCCCCTTATCTAACTCCACAGAAGTAGGAGTGTCAGGATTCCCTCCCAGGGAGTGGGGCTGCCTCGACTTCTCCTACACAGGTCTCTTCTTGGCACCTGCTGCTCCTTGCCCTTGTTGCTCCTGTGGGGGACAGCCAGGCTTTTCCTATCGAGAGTCAGTTATTCTTCACCTCTGATTCTTGTTTTGGGGTGGGGAGGGAGTCAGCAATGCTGGAGATGACGGCTTGCTATGTGATGGGTTTGAGCTGCATTTGGCTGTAAAACAATCTTGTTGGGAAAAGCATGAGGGAAGGGAGCCTCATCTTAACACTTCCTGAGACGTAGTACCAGTTAGTCTCCATTGGGTTCTGTTGGTTGCATGCCTCAAGAGGGAGGAGGTTGGGTTGACCTCCAGATTATACCAGCTTTGTTAAACCAACTGTTGTTGGCTCTGAAAATAAAAATGATCTTGAACCCATGATCTGTTTAGCTTTTGATGCATTTAAACGGAACTGCATTTCTGGGGTCACACTTCCATTTCCTCCACAAGACAGGAGCTCTGATGCATGGCCTGGCAGGAGTGGCAGGAACAACCTCATTAGTCTAGACCCTGGTGGTTTGGACTGGTTGGCAAGATGGCAGTAAGAGCCTTAAAATCATTAATTACTTTAATGGAAGTTAACAGAACAAAGGGAAAAACTAAAAGATGGGAGTGTGTGTTGTGTTCCACGGGAGAGGTGTTTGTCAGTCACATGAAGCCAGAGAAATTTACAAGTGTGACGGATACGAGGGCTGGTTGGCCAGGGTGTGTTACGGTCTTACAGAAGAGAGGGGTGCCTTGGATGGAGAAGTGGCCTCTGTCCCTTTCTGCATATGTATGAATGTAGGAAAGCTAGTGGTTCAAATGTCTGACAGATTGCTCTCTAAGTCATAAACAAGTGCTAAGTGTGATACAGTTTACCAGAAATCCCACTTGGGCTTCATTTAGACATCTGATTTCCATCTCCCCCAGTTCACAGCAGGAAGGAAGCTGGAGCCACAGCCAGGAACGCAGTGCAGGTACTCCAGTGTGGGACACCGGCATCCTAAAGGGCGTCTTCACTACTAGGCCAAAACGTTTGGTAATGTAGCAAGAGGAGGTTCCTTGTTAAACCACATCTCCGTAAGGGAAGGGTCGTTAGAGTAAGCAAGTCCATAGAACTTGGTAATCACCAAATCTTCCCCAGTAAGCACCCCATTTCTGAATTTTAAATTTTTTTCTTTTCTTTTTTCTTTTTTTTTTTTTAATATTGGAAGGGCAGGTATTCAGAAAGAGATCTTTCATCTGTTGATTCACTGTACAAGTGGCTGCAACAGCCAGAGCTAAGTGGATCCAAAGCCAGGAGCCAGGAACTTCCTCTGGGTCTCTGACATGGGTGCAGGGTCTCAAGAGTTTGAGCCATCCTCAATTGCTTTCCCAGGCCACAAGCAGGGAGCTGGATGGGAAGCAGTGCCCACATGGGATCCTGACGCATGTAAGACGACTTTAGCCACTAAGCTATTGCACCAGGCCCCATTTTCTGAGATTTAATCCTTCCAGAGACCACATTCAAGCATTCTCACCTCACAACCCTCCACACACATAGACTTTATTTTCACATATTTGTGAGAATGTGTAAATAATGCAGATACAGAGATGATTTTTCAGTTGCATGGGGAATATGACTACTTTAACTTATTCAATCCATTCCGTAAATTCCCTATACCATATTCCTAATGAGAAGATTCAAATCTTGATTGAACAGACCATGTAAGTTTTAGCTTTGGGGGGTGGAAATTGCCCAGTATCTATTTAGAATCCATTTCTGTACTTGTAAGCACATACTCACCTTTCATAAGAAATGATTTAAGCTCAAGCATGTACTTGCACTAGTTTGAACCCACTTTTTCCTCTTTTTGTAAAGATGAAAGATCTACAGAGAAGAGAGACAGAAATATCTTCCATGTGCTGGTTCACACCCCAAATGGCCACAAGAACCAGAGCTGAGCAAATACCAAAGCCAGGAACCTCATGGTGTCCCACACAAGTGCAGGAGCCCAAAGACTTGGGCCATCCTCCACTGCTTTCCCAGACCATAGCAGGGAGCTGGATGGAAAGTGGAGCAGCCCAGACACAAACTGATGCCCATAGGGGATATCAGCATTGAAAAGTGGAGGGTTAGCCTGTTGGACCATGGTGCTCCCCTCTGAACCCATCATATACCCAAAATAGGTGACATGATACAGTATCATTCTAGTCGTGTGGCAAACATCGGAAGCCCAAGTACCCACTTCCATAATTAGGTTTAACCATATATGTGTGATTTTTGTCGACTACTTCATCTTTTTTAATCCTGGAGAGTTTTAAACATATAAAATAATGAACCTGGATTTTTCTTTTCACCCATTATGCAGCTTCAACATTTATGTACACTTAGCTGATCACACAGTTCATCCTTACCTCACCCCCGAACCTGCTTTGCTTTTGAACAGGTGGTACTTCCCTGGATTGTTGCAAGAGCCGGCTGGCTTCCTGTTTGACCTGTCACAACCCACTTGTAGAAATGGTTAGGTCAGCCTATTGTTCCAGAACTTGATCGTTCTTTGTTGACTAAAACTAAAACCTGGACCCTTGATCCCGTGTGCTAAGGCACAACCTCAGCCTCCTGCTGTGTTAATTTCGTGCCCCAGTACCAGGGCACACTTCTGTTTCCAGAAGGCTTCCTGCTTTCTGAACCTTGTTTGTGTCGATTGGAAGCCTGCCACACGGAAAGTGTACTATAGGAAAAGTTTTATACAGATTACACCCACAAGGTCAAGGGTGGGTTAGCTCCAAGAACTTTAAACTCATTTTAAAATCTAAATGCAACTAGTCAATGTGCCCCAGGTTCAGATGAACAAATTTGAACCGTGCAGAAATGTCTAAGAAACATTCCAACACTCACAAGCCGCCAGTTTAGGAATAAAGGACAGAGCAAAAGGCCCCTCCCTGGATCCTGGCGAGAGCATCAACTCCCCAGCCCGTCACGGAGACCATTAACCTTGCCTGGCATTCTTTTCTGTAGAAGGTCTAGGACTACTTTTCATGTTTTCTGACTTTACATGATACCTTGTTTTCTTTGTGTATTCATCTGCAACTTGTTTTGACTTTATTCCACGCCTTGTCTTCCTTGTCACTTGTTCGGGAAGGGCAAAGCCTCAGTCAGTAATGAAAGGTCCCCAGTTCAGCTCTCCCACAGAGGAAGCTGGAGGAAGTCACGTCTCTCAGGCATTTTCTCATGGGCCCAAAAGCCACTGGAACTGGGTATTTCCCTGCAGCCACTCTTGCCCAAAAGATTGTGGCCATGATGTTAATATGACCCTTTAGGTACCTCCAATACTAATCATTTAAGATCTATTTAGGTGGGCCCCGTACCTAGTGGCTAAAGTCCTCACCTTGCACGCACCAGGATCCCATATGGGTGCCAGTTCCTGTCCTAACACAAACCAGTGCCCATATGAAATCCCGGCGTGTGCAAGGCAAGAACTTTAGCCACTAGGCTATCACGCTGGGCCCAATCTCAAATTTCTTTTTAAAGATTTATTTTTTGGGCCCGGTGGTGTGGCCTAGCAGCTAAAGTCCTCACCTTGAACGTGCCAGGATCCCATATGGGCGCCGGTTCTAATCCTGACAGCTCTGCTTCCAATCCAGCCCCCTGCTTGTGGCCTGAGAAAGCAGTCAAGGACGGCCCAAAGCCTTGGGACCCTGCACCCGCATGAGAGACCTGGAAGAAGTTCCTGGCTCCTGGGTTCAGATTGGCTCAACTCCAGCCATTGCGGCTGCTTGGGGAGTGAATTATCAGATGGAATACTTTCCTATTTCTCCTCCTCTCTGTATATCTGCCTTTCCAAGAAAAATAAATAAACCTTTAAAAATAATAAAATAAATCTTTTAAAAAATTGTTATAAGTGAAAGTTAGAGGATTTTTTTTAGATTTGTTTATATACTTGGAAATCAAAGTTGCAACGATCATACATTCATTAAGTCACCCCCAGAATGGCTGTAATTGCCGGGATGGGCTAAGATGAAGCCAGAATTGCAAACATTTGGACCATCTCTGCTTACCTAGGTGCGTTATCAGGGAGCTGGATCATAAAGGAGCAGTTAGGACACGAACTGGCGCCCTGTGACATGATGGCCTTGCAAGCCGTGGCTATGCCAGCTGAGCCACAATGCCATCTGCATAAATAAAACTTTCAAGAAGCAGCACCAAGGATAGAGACAGGTCCAGGGGTAACTGCCCCAGAGTAGGGGCAGATCAGAGGAGGTCACACTGCGGCTTCATCTCTAATGGGAATTTCATGAGACTAATGGATTCTCAGCAAGAAGGAACACACTGCCAAGGTGAAAAACCAGTGATTCCTGGGGATGAAGTAGGGGCTGGAGTCTGGGGGGTGCGGGCAGAGAATATTCCAAAAACCTTGACTACACAGCTGACAGGTCCATAAGCTCCAGGGACTTGTCAATACTCTGGGAACTTGGGAAGATTCCCATTGAGTCTGCAGCTCTGGAATGGAACCCAAGAATCTGCATTCCTTACAAGCTCCCAGTGTTGCTGATCTGGAGTCTGCTGAGCAGCCAGGACATCTGGCCCACCCATGAAGACTCCTCTTGGGACCCCTACATCCCATTGTGGGTTCCAGTCCCAGCCCTGCTCTCAGCTCCAGCTTGCTGCCGATGCACACCCTGGGAGATGGTAGGTCATGGTTCAGTGGTTTGGTCTCTCCTGCCTGCGTGGCAGACCCGAATTGAGTTCCTGGCTCCTGGCATTCAGGGAGTGAGCCAGTACAAGGAGTGGTAGAGAGTGAGGGAGGTCAATCCCTGAGGGTAGAAAGGGTGGTTGGTGGCGGAGGATTGAGCTGCTGTGCCAGCCACAGTTTGAAATTATTTGAAGGGCCCAGCGCGCTAGTATAATGGTTAAGATTCTCACCTTGAACACCCTGGGATCCCATATGGGCGCCGGTTCTAATCCCAGCAGCTCCATTTCCCATCCAGCTCCCTGCTTGTGGCCTGGGAAAGCAGTCGAGGACAGCCCAAACCCTTGGGACCCTGCACCTGTGTGGGAGACCCGGGAGGAAGTTCCTGGCTCCCGGCTTTGGATCGATGCAGCACCAGCTGTTGCGGTCACTTGGGGAGTGAATCATGGGATGGAAGATCTTCCTCTCTTTCTCTCCTCCTCTCTGAACATCTGCCTTTCCATTAAAATAAATAAATATTAAAAAAAATTATTTCAAAAGAAAATATTCTAAAGGGCCCGGCGCGATAGTGTAGTAGCTAATGTCCTCATCTTGAACACGCCAGGATCCCATATGGGTGCTGATTCTAATCCCAGCAGCCCTGCTTCCAATCCAGCCTGAGAAAGCAGTTGAGGATACTCAAAGCTTTGAGATCCTTCCCCCACGTGGGAGACCCGGAGGAGGA